TCTTTCCATAGCATAGTCTTGGCATTTTAGCATTTGATCTTTCCAGGATCGCTCTTTTCGATAGGGTCCATGCCTTTGTTTAAATGGATGGGGGGTGCACAAATGACAGGCAGCTTTAGCTGAGCTCAAGGTATACTATATACCATTACAGCCACTTCTCGAAGTTATCTTGGCACTTCTGGTGCCTCTTTTGGATTCATAAATATAGCAAAGATTTTGTTTTGATGCTTCAGTTACACTAGTATAACCTTTTTAATGCAATTTGCCAATGGCATAACTGTGGTGAAGCTCAACAACTCCTACATTTTAAAAAAAGTTGCAATTAGTCATTTAATTCTGATCATCAAGCTTGGAATGAAAAGACATGAGAAGGGAGAGAGGAGCTCTGCACCGTGCTGAGATTTATAGGACTAAGAACTTGTAAATTTTCTTTCATTCTGGTTGATCTGATAACATTTTAGGAAAAAAACAAAAATGCATGTGGGCGTTTCAGTTTCTTAAATAATCCAATCATATCAGGATGTAATTAGAATTCTAGGACATTATATATACTGAATCACAACTATTTATGGACCAGTTTCAGGTGGGTAGCCATGTTGGTCTGAAGCAATAGAACAAAGTTTGAGTCCAGTGGCACCTTTACCAACAAAGTTTAATTATGGGTATAAAGTTTAATTATGTGCATGCGTATGAAAGCTTATAACCATAATTAAACTTTATTGGTCTTAAAGGTGCCACTGGACTCAAACTTTATTCTGTTATTTATGGAACAGATATGCTTCCCCCCGGAAAAAAAAAAGCAGATAAATTCTTAATAACAGAAACCTTAAGACTTACTTTTAATCAGGTTTTCCAAGATCCTCTGACAAATTTTGTATGCAGTTGAACTACACTTATCCTTATTTTAAATATATTATTTTCCAACTGTTCTTTGCAACTAAGACCTTCGTGTACTTTTAACTGATGACAGGTGAAGCACTGCAATGCTATACCTGTGTAGGTAAAAGTGATGAAGAATGTAACAGACAAGGATCTGAGCAATGTCCTGGACCATCAGATGCTTGCGCAATCATAAGAGGACAGTCAAGTAAGTGGCTATATAATCATAACCAAAGGCATCAAGTTGAGTAAATGCAAGCCACAAAAGCCCTTGAAAATTCTGTTAGTGAGACAGGTACAGGGGGCCAAAAACAGGTTACAATATATAGACAGTGGAAATAATTAGCTTTTATCAGTAATTTTTAATACATTGAACTTTCTTCTACCTTTGAATTGGCACTGCTACAGTGTCTGAGTCTTTTTCCTCTGCACACCCATACACTTTGGAGGCAAACAGACTAACTTTTGAATCCCTCTCCTGTGTTTTGGGCTACCTTAATCCAGAAGCTTTAAAACTGGGGGATGTCATATGTTCTATGTTCCCACTGTATGGATAAATCCTTATTGTTACTGTGGGTAAAGTTAATGTCCTGAAAAAGTGGCAGCTAAGAAGCTGGCAGGAATTTCTTTTATAGAGAGCCAAACAGGCTTTTTTTGCTCTAGATGTAGCATAAGTAAAGGGAGCTTATTTATATGTAGCTATGTATTAGTTACAATACAATGGTATTAAAAATGCGCATGGTCTACTTAATTTTGGTCCTTAAAATGGCCAGTAGTCTTTGTCCAAGGCAAGTGGGTTGAAGATGGTAACCTAGATGTTCTCATTCTATTTAATAAGATAAAGAAGTAGATAAGCATGGATGCTGTAATATGTTTTGGATTTGCCTCTGAATTTGTTTTAGGTGGCATTATGAAGTCCTGTTCATATAAGTCATTCTGTGAGCGGGCGAGGAGGGAAGGCTCACGAGCACCCGGAGTGAATGTTCACTGCTGTTATTCCAATAACTGCAATGCCAAAAGCTTGGGCTCGAGAAACATTCTCTCCACCGGCTACTTATTTCTGCTTTTCTCTGCAATTTTGTGGCACCTGATTTTTAACTTGGAATGAAAATGGGACTGGAAAGAAGGAAGCAGTTACCCTAGAACTGCAAGGCTGTCTTTGAATCAAAGGGTGAACAATCCAGATATTAACATAATGCATTACATTAAACTCATTGAATGATGGAAGATGTTGTGGGGTCAGGGATACGGGGCTAGACGTTAACTTACTTTACAATTACAGGAAAATGGTAGATGGGGACTTAGGTAATTGGCAAATAACATGACACTGATGATTCTCAGGAACCTGCACTGATAGTTATTAATACACAGTGAAAGAAGCACATTATTTCAGAATTGCTCTTTGCATTATTCTAGCAACAAAAGAAGCTGTGAACAGCAGCCTTGTAGTGTGATATGGAAAGCTGTACAGTTAACAGTTGTAAGGAGCCTCTGTATATAGTAAAATATTGCTAAGTGTTTTGAGATTTGATTAAGGAACTCTGCTAACAATTCTTCACAACGAACTCCTGTGGTAGGAACTCTTTATCATTTAATGACTTATTAGAGGGGAAAGAAGCAGCTGAATGAGACAAAGAATGCTAGATTCTAATCTAGCTAGACACAAATGTTTGATGTCTGTATTGGTTTGATTGTATATACTCATTTTACAACCTTAGAAATATTTAGTATTCACTACACATTATTCCAAATGTTAATTATCCTCGCTTCAAAATAGTGAATGGATTTTGGTTTCTAAAAAGGGCTATGAGGAAAGGGTGCTGCTTCCTTTAGGATGCTCAGTAGGGCTAAAACTACACAGCAAGATTAACCTATGACATGCTTTCCAGTCAGTAGGCTTCTTAACTTATTTACCAGCGGCTTTATTGAGATAGGCGAATTAATTCTAATATCCCACTCAGATTACAGTTCAGCTCAGCATTCTGTTTGCCCGCCTTTCTCATGCAGGAAAAACGTTAACAGCGTTACCTCAATCAGTGGACAGATGACATATCTTCATAATACAGATACATTTCTCTTGAAACTAATGTCAACATTGTAAGAGAGAGAGAGATCATGAATTCCAGTTTGAAATGGAGTATTTGTTTTGACTATATTTACAGATTCTGGGTCTGAAGGTTGTGATGGTACCTCATGCATTATTAGTCAACATAGATTTCTAAAACAATTGTCCTAATTTTTGTTTTTAGCGGGGTCAGGCACCTACAAATGCCGCTGACATGTAATGAAGCAACGGGTATTAAATGCTTGAGGATATGTCAACCCACACCTTCAATGCTTAATATGGATTTCTGGATTTTTCTTTAGGCATACATTTTTCATATACCTGGCCCTTATTCCAACAAAACTCACTGAAATGAGCTGTCATGAAAGCATATGCTGGAATAAATGTTAGTCACTGAGATACCAGTGGATTCTTCTTTATTTTTTAGCAAACACATGAAACTATAGTTCCGATAAAATCATTCTTTTAAAATGTTTGAATTCATGTTAAGGTTCTTAACAATGTAAACTCTTCTAGCTTGATCTAGAACAGTAATGACCATAACTAAATTACAAGTATCCGATTATGTTGCTCAAACTGCCATGTTAGTA